GGGCACTACTGACCTTGGTGTGTCTGTTGCGGATGTGGCTGCGGAGCTGGGCGTTCTGCCTGAAGCCTGCCTGGCAGAAGTCACACTCGTACGGCTTCTCGTCCGTGTGGATGCGCACGTGCTCCACCATGATGCTTTTGCGGCCAAAGATTCTGAAATAAAGAAAGTCGTTCCTTGTGTTCATTTCAGTAAAGAGATACACATTGATACGATCAGGGTCATTTTGTGCAAGAAAAAGCAAGAGATACAGAAAGTAGAGAGAGAAAGAAAAGAAGTAGGACCTACCAGTGCGCCCTCCCACCACCCGCTTGTTGGCTTGAGTGATGTGAAGCACATCAACAGGATAATGGCGCCCTCCAACCTCCCGCCAACCACCAATAGAGAGCAGCTCCACATACTTGGAAAATAAAGACAAAAAACCTTCTGCCCTGAAAGTCAAGTTACAAAGCTCTCTTTACATACCAGAAACTACATGTTCAAAGTAGCTTTAACAATTGATCTGTTCCATATGAAAGGCCTAGATCTCCTGAGAATGTTGGTACCACTCTTTGACCTCTCAGTCAATGTTTCACTCACTGGACACTGGGCCTATTGCGGGTCTACATGCGCTGAAGACTGGCATTTTTGTGGGTATTTCAAAATGTCCTCCATCAGCCTTCCCAAAGACATAGAACCACCATTTGTACACACCTAACAGATCTAAATATGCCCAAAAGACACAAAAACAGAAAGGCAATATCTTTTATACCTTTTGAGAAATGATTTTTTGAAAATGTGCTAAAATTTGTAGCTCGCCAAATTTTTTTGAGAAAATGGTAGATCACAAGGTTCCCGCGGCCTCCTTGAATTCAAGGAGTCCTTGAAAACTGCTTGAATTTGCATTCAAGGAAAAATGTCCTTGAAAACCCCTTGAATTTTGCCAGGTCGGACAGGAACACAGGGTGACTGCCAGGCCCGGGAATCCCGGGGGCCCCTGAGTCCATTTTTGCCTGTCGCGATTGTGATATAATATTCATTCGGCTTTTCCCGGCCTGAGAGTACGTTACCTGCGCACAGGGGGTTATGGTGGCAACTAGTGGAAGTGTATGTACGATACCGAAGCTCGATCGTGAAAATCAAGATCTGCTTTCGCTTTCGTTACGTTACCGCCCATGAACACAGACAGACAGACAGACAGACAGTCAGTCAGTCAGTCAGACAGACAGACAGACAGACAGTCAGACAGACAGACAGACCCACTGACCGGCCACAGACAGGACACTGGTGCGGGTCCTGACTGTTCATGATGCCTCCCTCCTTGGACAGGATGATCTTCGTCACATGTGGGTCGTTCTCATCCGCTTCTTCCTCCTTGAAAAACGTCCGCGTCTTCGCATCATCTTCCGCGGCCACATTCCCGGCGCGGTCCAGCATATCCTCCCCACCCTGTCGGGAGAGCTCAGCCAATCCCAGAGCGGCCTCCTGTCGGTCCTTCAGCGAGTGTGAGTGAGTCTTCCGAGGCTCAGGGAGTGAGGAGGAAGACAGAGGGAGCCCGGCGTCCACCACAGGGATAGCTTCGTCCTTCTGCGTCTCCACGATCTCCTCAGCCACCACGTTGTCTCGGCACACCGCCTCCTTCCCCTCCTCCTCCTGCTCCCCCCTCTGGTGCGCGCGGGCGGCCTCCTCTGGGAGGTCCATGTCCACCATGACGGACTCGTCTGCTGTCAGCGGCTTGTTGCGGATGGTGAACACCTTCTGGTCCTCGATGTAGGTCTGCACGGGGAACACGTCCTTCACCTTCTTGGCGTTCACGTTGTGAGCCTTGCGGATGTGGATGAGGAGGGTGCCGCTGGTGGTGTACGCCTGAGGGAGGAGGGGGGG